CACGTGCTCACGTTCCAACTCCGATGTCCCATCACGTGAAAGGAATTATAAACCCCAAGCATTTGGTCACGTACCCAATTTAGTTTCGAATAGTAAATTTTATTTTTCATTTGTTAAAGCTTTCATTTTAAAATTTTAGTTTTTGTTTATAGTTTTTTAATTAAACATTACTTTTAAATATGAACAATAAAAATAAAAATAAATTGTATATCACAACGACAAAAAAAACAATAAGATCAAAATTGTAAACACGAAAAAATAATAAATTATAAATTATAAGATAAAAATTATAATTTCAGAATCTTAAAATATTAAATTAAAAATACTCATGGGTTGTTGCATTAGTTTTTTTTCTTCTTTCTCATATCAATTTTCTCTTTTATCCATATTTTATAATATCTTTTACCTTCATATCTGCTTATATTTTATATAATAAAGATTATTATAATATTATAATTCTAAAAATTATAATAATAGGAGTCATAACAACTAAAAGAATACGAAAATAAAAAGCACAATAATAAAAATAATAAAAAATTAAAATAAAATTTACAATAATAAATAATAATAAAACATACCCCTAAAAATAAATATCGCAACAACAAATATATTGTTCTTTTAGGTGTATAAATATATTTCATTTATTAAATATTTTACAGAGTAAATTACAAATTGTGTCCCTATGGTTATATGAAAATTTGGATTGCGTCCCTCAAACAAATTAATCACGTGTATGGTCATTATGGTCTCACTTTTGTTATGGATTGTGTCCCTTTCCTTAACTCTGTTCTAATTTTGCATCGTTAACTCTGTTACCTGCCCTTCACTTGAGGGGCATTTTTGTCATTTCATCAATTTCTGTAATGATTTTTTGTTGTACAAGTTTCATTGTTGTTCGTACAAGTTTGTGAAGCTAAGAAAAAACAAAATAAACCTAAATTAAAACCCTTAAACATCATTGTTCCTCCTGTTCTCCGGCCACCTAGGGTCATCTTCTCCGGCCACTAAAAACACACAAAATCAAGATCAATACCTTTTTAAGAACAAAATTAGTAACATAACCCATCTTTGGAAAACAAATTTAATAATATGACATGTTTTTGAAGAAAAAAATCGCCAACAAAAACCCATTTTAAGCAAAATCAACAAAATTTATTTTCGAAGAACAAAAGACATACTAAATTAATGGAATATAACAACAGCATGAGAAGTGGATAAGTGGAGAAGCAAGTGATCTAACCTATCGAAGAACCTTCGGAGAACAAACTTTCATCACAATCACAAGTTTACAACAACAAAAACATAAATGATTTCCATGGAATATGTTTGAGAAATCAAGTCAACTATACAACCATGCACTATGCAATTAAGATATAAAATTTAGCTTTAATCCCAATCCAATCTATCAAGTATGTAGTTCTCGTATAACCTACCTCGACAGCGTCTCTATGATTTGAAGCATCGCTAAGTCGTTGATATTTGAACTAGAAACACATCGTGGTACCTTGATTCTTTGATGTTAGCCGATGAGTTGTTGGAGCTCGAACACGAATAAAAGTCGTTTGGATCGAGAGGAAGGGGATTAGCTTTTTCATCCAACGGTACGCTGTGGTTTGGGTCGAGAGTTGCAGAAGAGTGGTCGGAGTTCCGCGGTAAAATCAAGCCAAGATAAATGGGGAAGAAGTAGAGAATACCTAATAGGGTGAGGAACGTCGGAAGATGGGGTTTATGGGAGCTTCCTTTGAGTAGTCGGCCGACGAGAGCAGGGGTTTGTCTATGTTTCTAACATTAGGTTTTTGTTTTTGTTTTTCTTAAGATGCTTTAGATACTTGTACATAAAGCTTTACAACTTATACATCAAAAAGATATGTCCAAATAGACTAAAATACCCCTCACTTGAGGGGCATGTGAGGGATTTAATAGTGCAAAATTAAACAGAGTTAAGGTAAAAGATTCAATTCATAACACAAGTGAGATCATGATGACCATATATGTAATTAGTTTGTTCAGGGGACACAATCCAAATTTTTATATAACTATAGGGACTAAATTTGTAATTTACTCTATTTTAAAATAATAAAAAGGATAAAAAAGAAAAAGAGAGATGTGGAGTTAGAGGAGGTAGTTGGACGCACAATTAAGAGGAAGGAACAGATTAATGTAAATGAACTTCTTCCCTTCCACGTGTCTAAAATCGGTAGCCTTAAGCTTACAAAGTCACTTTACTTTACCTGTTGAATATGACAAGGACTAAAAATCTTACTCGATAAGAGCGAAGACAAGAATTTCGAGTCTTACCCAATAAGAGAAGACGATGACTCTTACCATAATTAGCGCTTACCAGAATAAATTGTTGCATACGATGCGTTTTAGTAAATAAAATCTTGCCCGGTAAGCAAACGATAGTGTTGAATTTTACCCGTAAATGCTTACCGGGTAAGTGTTTAAGTAAACGACCCCTTAGTATTTTTCTTCAGTTACAAATGATCTAAAGATGAAGATCATTTCTTACCATTCTAGACAAAATTTCATTATCACCGAAACTCAACCCTGCAACATACATGCGTAGGTTTATTTCAAATTAAAATAATGGAAGGAGGAAAGAAGTGGTGTGGACATGGGTATGTTTTTGTGACAACTCCCGCCACCCACGCCGTGAATTACAACCGCATAGTCAGCCGGACATCTAAAATCAAACACCAAGACCAATTGTACCCCACTAAATCAATCAATCCCAAAATGGCCCTACTTCTTTTATAATGTTTATGATTGATGTGAACAAAAATACGAATTAATGACAAGATCAAAACTTTCATGTAGGATGAGTGACGACTGAAATAGAAGAGTAGAGTGGTCGTTGTCGCGTTAAATCCATATTACTCTATATTTAATGTTCAATGTCTAATCATTAAGGTATGTTTTTGAAAATGAAACGAACCAACAAATCAAATTCATCACTGTGTCATGACGTATGAAGCTTTTAGGAATTCATGCCTGTTTCAGGTCTCAAGACTGTGTTTTTCGATCTTCAAGACTTTGTTTCCATCATTTCCCTTTTATTTTTAATCTTGTAATTGTTTGGTTTTTCGACACACGAGCCTTAGTCGTACTTTAGTTGCTTTAGGGTTTCATTTTCCCCTATACACCCTTAAGGTGTTCGGTTTTGATTATTTTATCATTATTGTTAAAATCCTTTGAAGTTCGTTGCTAAGTTACTTTTAGTTTATCGCTAGTAAACTCAATTCGTTCTACGATTTACCATCTGTTAACCCTCCATGTTTCCTTCTCCTTCAAATCATGACTATTTTTTGACTTTTTGATTCCACAAAATGACTTTTGCAAACTATAAGCCTAGAAGAGTGAAACCTTGTGAACATTAGTTTTTGCTAAAATCCAAAATAATGTTCAAGATTCGTCCGAAAGTTCAAAAGGACCGAGTTTGCAAATAAAGGGGACGTTGTAAATCCTCTGCGAACTAGGTGTTTAATCCTTGATAATTATTTTTTGGTATTGATATATGCACCTCCATTTATGTCATGTCAAATCATGCATTGTAAACTTAAAAAATTGAGTCTCGATATTGATATTTATGAAATAGAAACTAATATGTAGTGGTGCATTTAACAATCCTACTTTTTTTTAGAAAAAAAGAGGCTAATTTGTATCGAACTCCATCTTAAAAAGGCTATTTTGTGAATAATCTTTAAAAAACAAAATAGGAGTAGGCTAAATACACCATTATCTTCTATTTTTCTCCTAACACACATCAATAATATGAACTAACTTTTTACATTTTCAATGCATGATTTAAACCGATTTTAACATAAAAAAAGGATGTCTGATTTTAATACATTGGAGAGTTTTTTGTCCGAATTTGACACATTTAGTAAATAATATATAGTTTTAAATGTAATGTATTATTTATATCGTTATTTAATGTATTTTACGGTTTAGATGTCTTATTTTAACTATAATACCATTTTAGCGTTTAAAAAGTAACTCATGAAATATGAATTTTCTTATTTTACAAGTTGATATTTTATGTTAAATGCAAATATCTTTCCATGCATTTGCTTATTGTGGGGGTATTAGACATCCCTTAACTAAAAGATAACACATTTACCTTTACTTTTGTAATGAGCCAAATAAGAAACTTGCAAACAATGAATGTTTTTTACTTTGCTTGTTACTTTTTTTTTGGTAAGTGTAAATCTATTTTCATATACTCACTTATTGTTATGTTATATTTCTTTAAAAAACATTTACCTTTATTTTCATAACTTGTAAAAAATGAAAAACCGTCGCATTTGTTTTTATTTTTGTTACAATTTATAAGACTAACGAGAATTTGGGTTCTTAGGTCCTGAACTCGGTAAACAATTGGGTTATTTTAGCATTTTTCTTAAAATGAAATCATTTATTTAATATATAATATCATAAAATGTAAAACACTGCGATCAAAATAAGATAAACAACTTTAAAATATGATTATTTTAGTGATTAACTCTTATTAATGTTAATCATGTCATTTATCTTAGCTAGGTGTCGTTTATCAAATACTTACCCGATAAATAATCAGTGATAAGATTCTAGTCCATTAAAACGACATCGTATGCAACAATCCACCCGTAACAACTAACCGGGCAAGACTCTCGATTCTCATCATCGCTCTTACTAGTTAAGATTTTCGATTTTTGTAATGTTTATCTGGTAAGGTAGGTGACCCCGTAAGCATTACCAGATAAATGTTTGGTAAACAACCCTTTTATAATGGTTAATTTAATTTAAAATTTTAAACAAGATGATTTCTTAAATATATTAAAATTTCAAAAAACATGTACCGTGACATGCTTTTCCTTTTATACAAATCAATAATTTATGAACTAAATATTACTTTTATAGAAATATTTGAAAATAATAAATAGTTTATAATTAATTTCCCTCTCGAATCTTCACGTCTTCTTTTAACCCCCTTCCTCCCAGCAGCTCCATCACTCTGTACCGCACTTCAATTTTTCATCCACTTTTCTCATTTGCTTCTTCCTTTTCCAGATCGTCTCCCTCTCAATTGCCAGAGGGGAAGATAGTGTTTATGTAAATCACAGATGAAGATAATGTTGCCAAATTTTGCGGTTTGCATTGCCATCGGTGCACTTTTCATTGCCATTGCCGGTGCCGAAGATCCATACAGATTCTTCAACTGGAATGTCACATATGGCAATATCTACCCCCTCGGTGTTCGTCAACAGGTTGATATAACTCTATAGCGATCAACTTTTTCGTGTTTGATTCATTGGTTTTACGATTAATTTATAATTTGTTGTATTGAACTATTGATGAGCATGCGATTGGAACGGAGAACTAATCACTAGGCTATTACCTCGATCTCATGTTTAATTTATGTTATCTGAGACTCTTTTGTTTTTGGATCGAAAGTGATTGTGTGTTTGAATTACAGGGGATTTTGATTAATGGACAGTTTCCTGGACCTGATATTCATTCTGTTACGAATGACAATCTCATCATCAACGTCATCAACAGCTTAGACGAACCTTTTCTCATCTCCTGGTAACCGATTATTATTCATTTCACCGATCAATGATACAAAGTTTTGAAAAATGAACTTTTGCAACGAAGGTCTTATTTTTTCTGGTTTTGTAAAACAGATCCTTGTGTGTCAAATCTCAGATTTGTCATGTTGGATCCAGCTAAATACAAACTTACGTTTGTGTAAAATGTGATGGAACTTTGATCACTCTTCTGAATCTAATCATCACGACGTTGATTCCAACAGTTATTTTTTTTTTTCGTTTTTTCAAAAGCCTGTTGTGATCTTGATTGGTTAACTGCCAATGTGTCACCTTTGGCAAGTTTGACAATAAGTGACACTTTGTATTATTGCATATCTTTTGGAAATTTCCATGTTTTACTTCAATCTTCGTTAAAGAGCTCATCTACCTCAGTTTCTAAGTTATTATACATGTCGAATTTGGCTGAAGTCACGTCTTGAAGCATGTTTTATCTCTTGGATCTTTCCATGGGTGGATTTTTTTTAATTGGTGAGTGTGTCAATGTTCCAGATATTGATAAAGGCTGGCAACATAAATGTAGATCTATTCTTGGGTATTAAAATGCAGTAAAGAATGTTATGAAGTCAATAGGTGCTCTAACCGAGGAAGATAGCACTAAACTTTTCATCTGCGAATTTCAATCCAGATCTATAATTTTACAAGGGTTTAATAAAACATTAGCCAATTCTTTAACGATATTTTTTTATTGGGAAGATTGAAAAATAATCACGAAAAATATTATAAAAACATTATCGTTTCATCAAAAATACATATTTTTATGTTATAGTTTGTTTTGCTCCATTTCTTTATTTTGCTGATTTTCGACTTAAAAGTTGAGTGAAATATTCATATTTCAAGAAAAAAGATAGTTATAATTAAGCATATTTTTTATCATATGTGTTGGATCATCTCAACATAACACTTTTAAATATATTTTTTTGGTTCATTTTTTTTTTTAAATTCTTTTTTGATCTCGTATAAAACATGGAATTTTTTTAAAGCTAAAAACTGTTACAAGCCTTTCGAGATAAATCTATGGATTAGAAATAAAATATGCGAGATGGCATGCATCTTTTAACTTAGAAATAAATATTAGAAACCCTTTTTCCTTACAGGTGAGAGCATGCAGGTAGCGTAAATGTGACAATAAAACAATAGTGTTACGTGTAAAGGTGTGTTTATATGTGTGATTACATTTTTTTATTTGAACTCCACTGGAATACATAAATAATAAAAATTAGGTAGGAAGTATGATACCGAATTAAAAGTACATGATGACAACAAATTGTTTTTCTATCCTCATGGAATTTTCTTGGTAGACACATAGCAGGTGGCATATAAAAACATAGAATTCTATAATGTATAAATTGATGTTAATATTTTTAGTTGTAGGAACACATACAAAAATTGATGATAATGTTGCACGTAAAACCAATATATTTAGGGGCCGTTTACCTAAATGCTTACCCGGTAAGCGTTTAATTTTATGAGTCTACACTATGATTTATTTTATTGGGTAAGATTGTAGTACATCAAAGTGGTATCGTATTCAACAATTTACCCGGGTAAGAATCGTCACTCTCACTTACCGAGTAAGACTCTCCATCTTTATCATTGCTCTTACTGAGTAAGATTTTTGACTCTTGTCATGTTCATCCGGTAAAAAAAAAATACCCGATAACCACTTACTGGATAAGTGTTTAATAAACGGCCCCTTACTTTCCGACCACTGTCACATTTACCTTGACAACTTTTTTAATAAAGTTACTTTTCATATTGTTAGCTAATTATTTAATCTAAATGATTCATAAACAACAAAATTTGTATTAATGTGTTATATAGAAAAAATGTTGCAAGTTTTGCATGTAACTTCCAACATTATCAAGGTTTAACTAATATTTAATATGAACATGACTTGTTTCAAAAACATATTATATATTATATTCAGTTTTATTGATTGTGAAATATGATATATAGGAATGGAGTTCAACAAAGAAGGAACTCTTTCGAAGATGGGGTCTATGGAACAACTTGCCCAATTCCTCCCGGCAAAAACTTCACATACATTCTCCAGGTAAAAGATCAAATTGGAAGCTTCTACTACTTCCCTTCTCTAGCGTTCCACAAAGCTGTTGGTGGTTTTGGAGGCATCAGAATTCTTAGTCGTCCAAGAATCCCTGTTCCATTCGATGAACCTACGGATGACTTTACTGTTCTTATTGGAGATTGGTATAAATCTAACCACACGGTAAGCATCATTTCCTTACTTTATTCCCTCACTCCCCCCTTCTACAAAGTGCCTTGATAAAGAAAGATTTTTGACTTGATCATAAGCCAAGGTCTTGGCTTGTTGTGAACTTGTAATATTTTCTTACTAAAGCTCCAAATTACTAAAAAAAAACAATGAAATACCATTTACATCTTCACTAGCTTCATAAAAATTATAATAATTACCCTTTTGTTATATTATCTATGAAATTACTACGATTTATTTTTCAAACCACTTATCAGCTATCTCAGTAATTTTTGGGTTAAAATAAAATGTAGGTTTTTCTACAACATATTAAATTTCATAATGATATAATATTAGCCTTATGGTTTATTTGATATTTTAGAAACAGTTTAAATTTCCTTTAATAGACATAAACATATATGTTAGCTTTACTCGCTTAAAAAGTTGAGAGATTATAATGCTTTTTTTGTTATTTTGAATGTTTTGTTTCTAATTTGGCGCCAAATAATATAAAGTAAAGTATAATTGCCAAATATTTTGCATTAATTCCGGAGATAATGATACTTATATTTGAAGAAAGGAATATTGGTTTTCCAACTTGAGGACTTCTTTAAGTGGGTCACTCGTTAGAACTTGTTTTTATCCCTTTTATCATTGTGATATTTATTTTACATCATTTAATTTATTGAAAAAAAATTATAACACTTTGTGTTATAAGAAATTCTTTAAAAAAATGTGATAATTAATTTATGTAAACGATATATTTGAGCTATTGTATTTTTGAGGATACTTGTTTTTCTAAAGATATGACGATAACATCTTATATATTTATCATTTTCTAAACTTGATATTTTAATTAGTTCAACATATTTTTTGAATTATATATCATATAAAATATTTGTACTCACAAACATTTAATACAACCCGAATAAAATGTCATTGAACCATGAGATATCATGGAATAAGGAGAATGAAAACTAAATGTAACAAATAAATGGATGAAGGGGGCTGTTTTTTATTCTATATAATGATATTTTTGTTTTTTAATCACAATTTTATTTCTATAAATGAGAGAGAATTATATAAATTTGGACCTCTTATATATTTTTTGAGATGTCTTTAATATTTCTTCGTAGGAATGTTTATACATTTATTAAATATGACAGAACAAAATAAAATAAAATTTAATATTTCATACTTAATATAATTTTTATATAGAATAAATAAAACAAAAGAAAACAATGCGAATTTATTCCCAATCCTACATGTTAGATTTATAACCCATGACCCCATGTGCACTTTTAGCTCCGCCTACACCAACTCTCTACGATGGTCTTTGTCATTTTGCTACCAAGGTATTGTTTGACACCGTGGATTGGCCGGTTTTTATTTGGAAGAGTGTAATTTTTTAATTGCCGTAATTTGTTAATAGTTTAGTACATTTTTGAAGGTATTATTTAATAAAAATAAATAAGTTTATAAACTAACTTATTTTTAAGTATATTAATAAATAATTTAGAAATAATCTAATTAATTTTGTATATTTATTCAATAATCAAGCCAAAATAAAATTTAAAATACATGTGATATATTCTTTTCAAAATAGATATTTTATTTATAAAAATACGTACCAAATTCTTATTTTCTTAGTTTAAAAATATATATTTTTTAAACATTTTTTTAAATGTTAGATTAAATAAACCGTGATTTGAAACAGGAACGTGCTTAGAGGCTGTTTAGTGAATAATATAAACAAGTTTTCTTAATATTGTTATATTAATGAATAATTTAGATTTTGTTTAATTAATCTAATATATTTATTAAATAACATGTTAAATTAAATTTTTTGGAAGTATAATATTGTAATAAAAAATGCCACATCAGCAATATATTATATGCAGACATTTTACGTGGAGAATGAGATGACATGTAAACATGATATAATGGATAAATTTAAATCAAAAGGTTACCTAATACTATAATAGGTAGATTTTTCAAAAGTAATACGCTCTAATAAAAATAATAATTTGAAAGTACATTTTTATAATAAGAAAAACTTAAAGTACAATAATATAACAAATTTTTTTTTATGAAAGTAGATTGCTATTTCTTGTACTTTATCCTTTAAAGAAAAAATAGTTTATTTTCATTCTTGCTCGAAAATAACTTGTAACGATAAGCAAAATAGAAAATATAATTTTGATTTAAAATACAATTTAACGAAGATACTGAAAGATTAATCCTTTGAGGTGTAGCTTAGTTGACAAAATGATGAGATGACTTTGTCCAAATATAAGATATTTCCGGAGTTCAGTTCCACACCACTAGCCTTATCCACCTAGTGAACTGAAAAATGCATTCTCATATTAGTGTTCTTTAAAACAAGTTCTATATAGATATCATTGAGATTGGTGATAATTAACTTTTTTTTTTTAATAAAGTAAATATCAAATGTTTTAACAAAGTAAAGTAATCATATAGATAGGTACTAATATTTTTGTAAAGGAAACTAACAAACAAAAGACTAAAATTTGAACTGAATCATTGGTGTAAGACAATATTATTACATTTAAATTAGAACAATAAAAAAAGGAATTGTATTTAAATTATTTTGAAAGGAATATGAGAAATGTATTTGTTGTTTCAGGCCTTGAAAGCAATTTTAGACCGGGGGCATAAGCTTCGGTCTCCTGATGGAATTCTTATTAATGGACGGGGGCCAAATAGCGCCTCCTTCACCGTTCAACAAGGTAAACTTCATTCCTTTCGTCTTTTGTGTTTATAATTTCTTTTTTGGACAATATTGTATTCATTAGTCTTTTCAATCTTTTAATTATTCCAGATATCTAGTGATGGTTCATTTAATTCAAATTTAACTACACAATCATAATCTTAAGATTTTCACCGGTTATGGTTTAATGGACTGTATAATCAATATAGTTTGTTCGCTAAGTCAATAGCTTATTCGCTCAACTAGAGGAAGGCTATTGTTTACGTTCAGCTAAACCCTTTTCCTTCACTGCCTTAAGAAAAAAACCATGCATCCTCATCGATGCTCCTCCTCCGAATCAAACCAACTAACATGAATACCAAGTGTGTATCAATTAAACTGATACAAACTTATGTGAAACTTGACTTCAACTTAAGTTAAAGTCATCAATTAAATTTGACACTCAAATAAACTAGTCACTTCTAAACTTTCCCATGAAATAGAGGATATCCTATTATCGATGGTTTATTCATAAACGTGATTGTGAATGATGACGTGATACATCTAGTGTAACCAATATTTTGTTTTGTTTGGTGAACAGGAAAAACTTACAGGTTAAGAATATCAAACGTGGGGTTGCAAAACTCGCTTAATTTCCGGATTCAAAATCACAGGATGAAACTTGTGGAGGTCGAAGGAACACACACTGTCCAACAGATGTATTCTTCTCTTGATGTCCATTGCGGGCAGTCTTACTCCGTGCTGTTCACAGCTGATCAACCAAGTCAAGACTACTACATTGTCGTTTCCTCCCGGTTCACCACCCCAACCCTCACCACGACTGGAGTTCTTCATTACAGCAACTCTGCTCGCAAAGTCTCTGGCCCAATCCCTGGTGGACCAACCATCCAAGTCGATTGGTCCCTCAACCAGGCCCGCTCCATCAGGTTTGCATTTTTCCCATCCACCTTACTTGGATTTTGTAATTGTTCAAATGAGAATGATACAAATGTTAAAAAGGTATAAGATGACAAGTGTGTATAAGTATTTGTTGTATAATAAATATACAATGGTCTGCAGGACCAACCTTACAGCAAGTGGACCAAGGCCGAACCCACAAGGTTCATACCATTATGGTATGATCAACACCAGCCGAACCATCATCATCCAAAGCTCGGCTGGACAAGTGAACGGCAAGCAGAGATATGGACTCAACAGTGTCTCATTCAAGCCTGCTGACACTCCCCTGAAACTTGCTGATTATTTCAACATCGGAGGAGTTTTCCGAGTTGGAAGCATTTCCGATAAGCCCACCGGAGGGGGCCTTTATCTTGATACCTCTGTCATGGGGGCTGATTACAGAACTTTCGTTGAGATTGTCTTCCAAAACCCTGAAGATATTGTACAAAGCTATCATCTTGATGGCTACCAGTTCTTCGTTGTAGGGTAAGGATTATAAAACCCCCCTTTAAGTTTAGCCTATTTGATTTCATTTGGTATAATGGAAATTTAAAACAAAATCTATAACCAGTAACAAATATAGACAGTATTACTTTGATACTAATGAAAGCATTATATTCATGGGAAACAGAATGGATGGAGGAGTATGGACTCAAGCTAGCAGGAACGTATACAATCTTCGAGATGGCGTTGCTCGCAGCACCATCCAGGTACCTTTACTTAATGCTTTACTAATTTCTCTTTTTGGAATCTATCCAAATACAAGATCCATTACAACTGATAATATTATACAATCTTTGGTTACATTATGTTTTGTTTGTTATTTGTGTTTGTGTTTTGATTGTTGTTGCTTATTTCCAAATTTTAGCAATGTCTTTTGTATTTTCAAGTTCTTTTTTATGTCCTTTTTTGCATTGTTTTGAGCAAGCTTTACCATTTATTTTCAAACACTTTGCACAAGCCCAGGGTCTCATGATAACAGCCACTTTACTCTTCGAATTAGAGGTTAGGCACACATACGTTCCACCCTAGACCCTACCTTCGGGTGATACTAACCGAGTCTCTTTGGTTTGGTTTATTTGATAAATTGTTGTCTAAGTGGTATGCTCGTGGTGTTTTACATGTGCAGGTATACCCAAAATCATGGTCTGCAATTTACATACCACTTGATAACGTAGGTATGTGGAACTTAAGGACAGAGTTCTGGGCACGCCAATATCTGGGCCAACAGTTTTACCTACGTGTTTATACCAACTCGGGCTCGATCAGAGACGAATTCCCAATCCCCAAGAATGCACGTCTTTGTGGGAGGGCAAGCGGCCGTCACACTCGACCACTCTAATCTTCCCACCAAGCAGCCCTTAACTCTAGCCAAGGTGAGTTAAGAGGTTGAGTTTAGATTCAATTTATAGAATCAATTTAAGAGTTTAGAAAATAGTGTGGTTTGCTAAAATTTATAGTTGTGGTGCTACATAAGCACTACATCTCATATATTACTATGACTGTTTATGACCTTATCTCGAGGTCACATTTATTGCATTTTATATTTTATTTCCACTTAAGTGGAGATATTTAATTTTCTGTTTTTATTAGAAAAAGGAGCATTTATTATTGTAATAAACTAAACCAAATGGTTGTAGGAAATTGGTGATTCTCTATCTTGTTGCATTTTCTTGACACGATTTCATAAACAAGTCTTCTCTATCCATTGTATATTCTAATTCATTGTAAGAACTCATCTCATATGGATAGAAAGTGAGAATTGTTAGCTTAATTACATGCAGTTTTAATATCGTATATGATTACATGCATGATGCACAAGCTCACACTAAAATAAGTGTAATCATATATGATATTGAAACTTCTCACCTTCTTACAAAATGTTTGACTTCTCGCTTCCTCTAGTTATACACGTTGTCAACATATTTTTATTGTTGCATTCATATTCTCATATAGGAGTGGCAATAGGTCAGGTTGGGTTAGGTTCGGGTTCAACCCATTTATTAAACAGGTTGAAAATCTCAACCCAACCCATTTAATTAAATGGGTTGAGATTTTTCAACCCAACCCAACCTGTTGGGTTAATGGGTTGACAACGGGTTGATCTGTTTACGATTTTCTTAACCCAACCTGTTAAATAAATGGGTTGAACCTGGGTTGACCCATTTAACCCATTTAATTTTAAATAAAAAAAGAACTAGAGTATTTAACTTTTTTGAATAAAACATAACACAACCACAAATACAACCAAATTGTTCAAAGTTTGAATAAAACACAACCACAACAAATATATTGTTCAAAATAAGTTGATTTTTTTTTAAATTCTAAGTAACTCGACTTCCACTTTCATCAACCCAATTTTACTCTCGTACCTAAAATCCTAAGACCATTAGTCCATCAGCAAGTGTAATCCATGTGTACAAAACAACTTCTATGTAGCTTGTATAATTATCTCAATGAAGACGAATGATAACAATTCTCTCTGAGGTATAGGTACAGTGATAGAAACAGATAGCCACATCACACAAGTAACAAATTCAAACTTGAAAGAAATCACTAAAGTTCGATAGAGTCATAAAGTAACAAATAATCAAAGAGAAGCATGAAATTCATATGATCTATACGAAGTTTAACAACAAAATATTAAACAAACATGATTATAAATAACTTACTCTGCTATCGCTCAACAACGCCTCAAGCCCTCAACCTCAAATCGAAAACTGAAAGTCTGAAACCAACCCAAATCTTTGATTGGAGAAGGTAAAACTCAAAAGAATGGGAAAAGATTGATAATCGAAGCGTATGAAGATTGAAGAATTGACGGCAAAGCGTCGAGACTCATGATACTGATTAGTAATGAAGCGTATGAAGAATTGATTATTGAGGGTGCGTTTGGTATGCAGACTACATGGGACGGGACGGGACAAAAAAAAAATAGTCCCATGTTTGGCATGCCATGGATAAAAATTACATGGGACAAGATGGGACTATTTTAAAATCTGATGGGACAAAAGTGGATGATTTTTGTTCCATCAAAAAATGTGGAACAACATGGGACTAAATACAAATTTACTATCTTACCCTTAAAATCCAATAAAAAACTAAACCCTCCTTTCACTATCGTCTCTTTCACACCCCCATTTCCACGACAGAGCTCTTCACATTGCCTCCTTCCACCGCCTTCTTCCATATCGGTATGATTTCTGTTTTGGCATCGATTTCTTTTCTTTTTGACCATAAACCCTAACAAAATCGATTCTACATCGTTCTTCTCTTGGATTCTTGATACTGAAAAGTTTCTTTTTTGAAACTTGAGGGTTCATTTAACTTAAGCTTACAATGCTCTTGTTATCAGGTTCATCTTTTTGTTGCTCTCGGATTGATACACTTTTACCTAGACCAAATATGTATGTCCCTTTTATCATTTCATCATACCCAAAGCAAAAGTAGGTCGAATTGGTTGGGCCTCTGCCCTGGAATGTTTAGGAGGTGCTACTGGTTACAATTGCAATAAATGGGTACAATCATAATTGGCATTTTTCAGATTATATATTTTGCTGCTTTCAGTATCATAGTTCAAGAGTTTGAAAAACAGGAGAACAAGCTGTTATGAGAATTATTTTATATAGAATATAACGAGTCATGTTACACGATTGAACTAGTTAGTATACGGCAAGTAGCATATTTATTGCAATTACATATAGGAGAACAAGCTGTTTAAGGGTAATATGGTCATTTTAACAGTTTTGTCATGTCCTCTCCTAGTTGTACCAAACATGGGACAAACAATTAGTCCCGTCCCGTCCTGTCCAGTCTGCGTACCAAACACTACCTTAAGGATTGAAATCGAAGAGTCATCATGAAACTTGTGCCAATTTATTTAAGAAAAAACAAAATAAAAAATAAAATAAATATAATATTAAGAATAAAATAAATTTATATGATATTTTAAGTGGGTTGAAAACATGTTGAAAACGAGTTGAAAACAGGTTGAACATTTCAAACCAACCCAACCCATTTATTTAAATGAGTTAGACGGGTTAATTTAATTTATTTAAATGGGTTGAAAATCTCAACTCAACCTGCTAATTCTGGGTTAGGTCATTTTTTGCCACCCCTATACTCATATGTACTCTGCCAAAACAAGAATTAAGAAATAAGCATTTCGACATATTTTTCTTCGCCAACTTAACCGTTATTTCTTACATATGATTGTCGCGGGACTGATACTAGGGGGATGCGTTGAAGGACGACGCATACCTTTTTTTAGCAGATATATTTATCATCGTCGTTTCTTAATTATACAACATAAAAACCATTAGTTTAGTTGGTGTCAATCTATCCAGGATGCACCCAACGCCTGTGCCATGAAGCTATAACAATCTACCGATTCATCAATCTGCAATCCAGGTTCCCAAAATCCATATACTCATTTCTGCAAATATATATTTATATACACGTATAAACTCGGAGAAAAAAGAAGCTAAAGTTAGTCGCGTACCCTTTTCTGTGTTGAGCTCCCACACCCGTGCCCAGCCTTGGTACTGATTCGTGCGATGATGGGGTTAGTCTGTGGGCTGTTCTTCACACTTGTACATAGCTCATGCTGCATCGTCTACATCATGACCAATCAAACTATGTGAATCTAATTGTTAGAAAAAAACATGATTTATTTTGTTTGAAAACATAGTTTTGGAGGCTAACGGCAGCTAATATCTATAATGGTGGTCGCAAAATTTTTTTGGCACAATATCTAATATTTTTTGATACATAATATCTAATACGCACCGATAATAACTTCAAGGTGTGTAGTGGGACGACACGGTCATCATGATCAGCGGTTAGTAACATCGTAGACGGATACTGAGTAGCCCTGATCGAAGAATCTTCCCATGGTCGCTTAACGTTATGCAGCGGCGAGTACCTTATATACAGGAGAATGATTGGTACATTAATTAATGCAAAAATTTGTCATGAAAATATGATCCTAAGAGTTTGGCATGATCATCCTCACACCAAGTCTTTTTTGTTAGCCGTGGAGTCTGGGTCAGCTTGCGTCTATCTCAACTAATTCCATGGGCCCTGGAGTACAACCAGAGAAATCCGCACTGGCCTTGGAGGGATTTGAACTACTAACAATTGGAGAAGAGTCCCAACAACACGAGCCTTATTACATTAGATTCACAAGGATCGGTGATTGAGACTGTTCGTCTCAAGCCTAGACCAACAAAATGATGGCATAATTGGCTCTTCAAAAGCCCGCCAGGATAGGTCTTAACCGGTCCCTATACCGAAATTTGGCTTAACCCATTCTTTACCCAATCCTTTTTTTTGTAATTATAGAACATGTACATATTTATATTTCAGTAGGAATGAGATCGGGAAAGAACCTTGAAGAAATAATGAACTAAAGAACTGATCCAAACTGTTAGATTAAGATGCGCCAACAAATTGGAGCCAAACAAATTACAAAAAAAATGATCAGATTTTTATCTGTAATTAGATATTCATTTTGATATATATTTTTTCATATTCTTTATTGATTCTTCAGTTTCTTTTTTTCAAGGTTCTCCTGGACGTGTATATTTTACGATTAAAAAAATAAATATTAAATTAGATTTCCTATAATATCCCTCAAACTAACCATTATGACCTCGAAATTGTATTTCTACAAGTAAAAATAATAATAAAAACAAATATTTTTTTTACTGTTCTGACTCGAGCGATTAGACTTTGCAATAAACCGGCCCACGATAAAAGAATATGACTGAGTAGGTTTTGGGCCTAAATCAGTTTTAATTATGGTTCTTCATGTGACCTTGTCCTAGTTGGGCCTGTCTTGGGCCTTGGGTACATTTGTGCATCTTTGCCGGTTACTAAAAAAACATTGATGAATGACTCACTTGATTAGGTGATGGAAGTCCTCTTCTTTATCTGAACAACCAAACTCGGGTACCCATGCGTGACCTAAAGCACGAGAACCATCATTCATGGCATGCAAACAAACAATGGTTGCTTGGTGAAACGACTCCATTAAGGAATATGGACTCACCGATGGTAAACTTGTGGTATCGTAGCATGTCCATGACCCCGGCATGAGCTAGAGCACAACCAAATAGATCCGGTCTCTGTGGCACCCACAATTCATGATTCAGTGTCCTGTTATTATTTGGGTATGTTTTTTTATAACAGTGGATGGATGTCTGGGCCAGCTAATGCGCACCTTCAATAATCCCATAAATATGACTCTAAGGGACTCATCCCATAACTAATCCCATATAGTGGAGAAAGATACATACCTGATTGAGGCAAGCACCAATGAGGGTGCCGCCATTGCTTCCACCTTCGATGCATAACTTGCTAGGGTTGGTGTAACCGGTTGAAACAAGGTACTCCGCAGTTGAAATGAAGTCATCGAAGCTATTTTGCTTGTTTGCAAGGGAACCCGCTTGGTGCCATTCTTCGCCATACTCTCCACCACCACGGATATTTGCTACACAAAATACGACACCTAAATATCGTGCCAAAACAACACGAGTAATGTCAAACGATGGCGTTAAACTAACACCATATCCACCATATCCATACAACAAACAAGGGTGCGATCCATCCAAAACTATGTCCTTTCTAGCGACAATAAACATCGGGATATGTGTTCCGTCCTTACTACGTACAAACACCTGAAAGATTAGAAAACGTTAAAATGTATCTCTTTAAAATTTATTGGTATGAGTTATGTGGAACCCCATCAGATCACTCTTAAAAAAGGTTTACCTGATTAGCCTGATACGCAGCTTGATTGAATCCTTGAACCACAATCTCGCGTAAAACCCTCATTTTTGGAACCCTAGCTTTCAAATCATACTCATAAACCATACCCGGGGTGATGAAGCTACTAAGCTTGATGAAAAACACATTGTCTTCACGCCTAGCGCTAATGTAGTCAACACTACCGATATCAATGGGCAGTGTATGCAACAAGTTACCTCTTTCCAAGTCGCGTATCTGTAAAACATGTTTGCAATCCTTCAAATAACTCACAATCATCTGGTTTTTGTTTATTGGTAAAACCGACTCAATCACATCCTTTTCAGATTCACGTAGGATTTCAGTCCATATACTCGGGTTTTTGAGATCTAGTCGAACTAACTTGTATCTTGGAGCATTCTTGTTAGTCAAGAACGTAAAGATTGTGTCATCGTTAGAAATGGCTCCATAAAATGCCTCAAAATTATCGATAACCTTCACGAAAGGGAGATTCCCTTTGCCTCTATGGCCTTCAAGACCATTAGGTAACGTAGATAGATCACAACAATAGAATTTGTTGAGGCGTGCCGCACCTTTACATATATTAAGGAGTAGATACTGCAAACAATACATAAATAGCTTATATTTGACATTAATTTCTTAATCTTGTAAAACTTATAAGAAATATAGAAACAAATTAAACACGGAGATTTGTAACACGTACCTTTCCATCATCCGCCAGTCGTGCTTCAAGAATATGTGTCGGGTTTTCAAGATTATTCCAACATAATATATCTTCGGATTGTTTTGACCCTAAAAAATGATAGTAAAGTTGATGATTGTGGTTAACATTCACTTCTGTGCCGGCATCCATATTTTCGGTCTCCCTATTCAACGAATTAAATGTCACACAAACTTCTCAAACCATGATTTAAAGAAGAGACAATTAAACCAAAACATTATAATTAATAATATTGAATTACTTTGGAGCAGGATATCGACAGTAGAAAAATCCCTTTGAGTCGTGAGTCCAACTTATCCATGAAAATTTCACCTACCAAACAACCATTGAGAATTTTAGAACCTTTTTGTTTATTTTATAAAAAAAAACACGAATGAATTACAATTTCCGTCCTTGCGGTTTAGTAACTTTAACCTACTTTAAAAAAATTATTGAAACGGGTTCCTACGGTTGTATTTTTTAAAGAGATAAGTCATTATGGTTGCATTTTATTACGAGTTGGGTCCTTGTGTTTGCAAATCTTTAACGAGCTGGGTCCCTGAATGAATTAATGATTTGGGTCCACATGATTGAATTAGGGACATGACTCCTTAAAAAAATTGCAACTATAAAGACCCAACTCATTAATTTTTTTTTTAAAATAGAGACTTGAACCTTTAAAAACACCAAACCATAGGGACTAAAAATGTAATTCACTCATAAAACAATAAAGTAATGTTTGACGTCTATCTTTGTTTATCGGGTTTTTTGAAAACACGAAATATGGTTTTATAATATTCCTATCGTGAACCATAAACTAGTTTATTTTTTGAATTTATTGGAAAAGTATTGTTTAATTAACCACAAACTATCTTATTTTTTAAGTGTATAAGTAATATCAAAAGTTACCCAAGAAAGTTTGTCGGGCTCAACGGTTCTATGATCCACACTCATAACTTGTATGGTCAACCAGTCGCTTCCGCTTGAGCTTAAACCGTAAGCCAAGTATCTTGCATCATGGCTAACCTCAAAACCTCTTAGCGCCACAGCTCCATCGTGGCTTAGTACATTTGGATCCAACAAAACGCCCCCTTCTTCATCCAAACTCTCCTGAAATTCTCAAGAAAATATGCTTTTAACTAAAAATAAAATTATTTAATAAATTAAAAATTATTGGTAACGGAAAACTTCAAATGGATTCATATATCCTCTTGTTTAGCCATTTTATAAGAATAATCGTTGTATAACATTTGTACAGTATACATGTTTTAGAATAAAAAATTTGAATAAAATACATGTTTTAAAAATTATTTAGATGGTTATCAATTACATTTAATACAATAATTATAGACACTGCCACACCTTTTAGACTTAAGGGCCGTTTACCAAACGCTTACTCGGGTAAGTGAACACCAAGTCACATTACTTTACCGGATAAATATGGTAAGGACCTAAAATCTTACCCAGTAAGAGCGAGACAAGGACCAAGAATCTTACCCGGTAAGTGAGGACGACGAATCTTACCACAGTAAGCACTTACCAGGTAAATTGTTTCATACGATACCGTTTTGGTGGACTAAAATCTTACCCGATAAGTCAATGTTAGTGTTAAATTTTCTCGATAAGCGCTTATCGGGTAAGTGTTTGGTAAACAGCCCCTTATATTATAATCTAATATTTGTTAAGTATTTACCGAGTAATAAGTAACGTGTAATCATACTTTCTTATTTCTTTTAATATATGTTGAGTATTTATGGGGTACTAATTTACATGGTGGTGGTTGTATTATTTGTCTAGTTTTAATCAAATTAACTATCATTAATGTAAACATCAAGACTGAAGAAATTTTTGAAGAAATAAATGTTTAATTTTACAACCATTACTGATAATGTGTTAGGTGACTTGATTAAAATCTGATGAAACAATATATATATATATATATATATATATATATATAGAGAGAGAGAGAGAGAGAGAGAGATAGAGAGAGACTTGGGATCATATGAGATCAAAGGTTTTTCGTGAGACTCGTAAGACTAATTCTCAACTCTTGGATTAGATCTACAATCTGAACATTCATAATCACAAAATTGCCTCGAGACTTCTTAATAATCACAAAATTGCCACTGTGCAACTTTAGACTATATATATATATATGTGTGTGTGTGTGTGTGTGTGTGTCCGATAATTCTTTTTCTTCGATCATGTAACTTAAATTTTGTCGTTTAAAAAAAAAAACTATTTATTCACATCAGAATGATGATTTTTGTTCAGATCCGTTAACATACATACGTTTAAAAATAATCGTATACATCCAGAATAAGTACTATATGTCGTTTCTAACAACAAAATGGTGAATACCTGCAAATAGAGAATTGGATGAGGGTGGAGGCCAGGATTATGGAAATAAAAATACTTATTCCCTTTCCGAAACGGACATCCATAACGAGGGTAATCAAATGACTTGGTGAGCCTCTCACGAAGCCTTTCTCTGGAATCGCAATTCCCAAGCACTGATTCCGTCACTTTCTTCTGCCTTTCCACAAATTCTTTCACCTCTTCTAAATCAGGATCTTCAAGCCTGTTCATCATACATATTACAAAGAAACAAATAGTCTTAACTTCATAATTATTTGAACCCATAACTTACATGAATTTCTATATCAAATATTATTTATATATGAAATAATTATAGATAAATTATCAACACTTAAAAAAATAAACATCTGATACGATACATAATTTAGAAAATAAGAATAAGTAGAAGTTAAATACTTAAAATAATACATATAGAATCAAAATCCTACAAATTCCGGTGTTTATTTTGTACATTTTTGTTTTGACGAAGAAACGAATGATATGATTCGAAAAAAGTAGTTTAAAGACAAAAAAGAAACTAACACAAAATTACATTACATTACCATCGATAGGGATCCGAAATAGTCATGCCATGATAGTTATCGGCCACAGAATCGTCACGACGAGCAACATGGTATTGCAACGGCTTCCTCACACCACATTCGAAGCCCATACTCAGAGCGAGAGACAGATCGAGATCTTGATTTATGTTTTGAGGAATTGATCAATTCTTATGGTTTTGTTATAATATATAATGAATTAAATGTGGATTCTAGAAATGGTGTGAGATGAGAACACAATGGTTTTGTTTTGTGGGGTTAATGTTATTTATTCCAATTCCCATGGTCTTATGTGTTCAAGATTCCTCTTTGAAAACAAGAAAATGTTGACATTTTGTTTCATTGTGTCTTCATTCTACTATTTTTAAGTAATTTGGGGAGAATAGCACCGTTTTTGGCTAAATCCACCCTCATCATAACGTAAATTGACGGTTTTACCCCTCAACGTACCTCCTTGACTCCTCCTCTTGTTTCTACTTGGTTTTTTTTTTTTTTGACATGGATTCGTTATCTCTATATATCAGGATTGATGGCTGTTATAACAACGATTATGAAGGGTGTTTTAGTCTATTTTGAGTTTAGCAAAGAATAAATACGTGTGTTTTGGTCATTAGATGTGTCTCTAAACAATTATAAATATTTAGCTTGTTTGAGAAAAAAGCATAAAAGATATTCCCTTTGTAAGAAAACAAATATAAATATTTATCCAGGGTGTTCTCAGCATTTATCTCATGCATATATGTGCAAATAATTGCAGTTTTATGGATAACAAAACCTATTTATATTTCGTAATTTATCCAAGATTCACGACCAGAATTAATACCAAAGACAAATTATTGATTTACGGTATTACTATTTTTAGAAGAACTAAGCAAGCACAGGGGGATTACAAGCGGGATTTCTAGAACAATAGCAGTTAGGGTTTGTTGTTGGATTTTGACAACAATTTGGTTCATTGAAGGGATTTCCATCACATGGGAGACTACATATGCATCGAGAATGACCAGGTTGTTCACATACTCCCGGTACGTGACATATGTATCCACTAAATGCCTCAGAATTACAATAACCGTCACAAAAATTGTCTGAACATTTATTAGGATCGACATTGAAATACCTTGGGCATCCCCAACCTGCATACGACAAGTAAAAACAATAAGAGATAGCAAGGTTCCAATAAATTGCAATCATCAACACATAAAATAACTTGATAATATTGGATTATAATCCAAAGCTGACCTAAACAAAAAACATTGGTTGATTTTATGAGTAAGTTATTAGCCTAAATGGTATTCCCTACGTTATTCTTATTCTGAGTTTAGTGGTTCCAGTTTTTATTCTACTTATCCTTTATTGTACCTCTATGCTCTTCTAATTGGAAAATGGCCAAGAGATCGATGACTAATCAACTCTTAATGTTTTTTTAATTTCTTTTTTTATTAACCTGGATATCCAACCCGCTATGTGAGTCGACTAATCCCAGGGCAACTACCTGCTTTGCAGATAGCCCGGAGTCACCGCATTTGAACATCCATGGCCATAAAGGGATTTTTATTCCTCCTTGGATTTGAACCTGAGACCTGCTGGTACTTTCGACCTTTGGAGCCAAGCTCAAACCAATCAGGTACCACCCTTGTTGGTTTTTTTTTTAACTTATACATATATATGAACCAAAAATTTATAGGCCACATACTTATATCATCGTATCGATTTAATTACCTAAGGGATGTTTGGTTTGATTAAATGACTTTGAGGTGTGTTAGGTTTGTAGGATTTGAAATGAAATTCTATTCCATTCTTAATAAATAATTTGTAAAATCAATTAAATTACCTTTTTTTTATTAGTTAATTACTAGAAAACATATGTTTTTAACATATTTTAAAGCATTATTATATATAAATCCATGAAATCTTTTAAACTAGACATGGGATTGGAATGAAATTCAATTTCAAATCCCTTCAAATCTTACAAACCAAACAAGACCTAAGTTTGTCCAATTGTCATAAAAATTAAAAATCAAGATATGAAGGTTTAATCACATCATTTTTCACCCTAACATGTTCCAATGGTTTTTTTTCCCAAAGATTAAGGGGGTGTTTACTAAATTCTAACCGGATAAGCATTTACTGTGACTTCGAGCTTCTATAAAGCTCGCTTCGCTCTCTCCGCTGACACGATACACTCCCTAAAAAAATAAGATGACGAGATCTTTAGTTGATGGACGCTCTAACCATCAAGTCATCATCCTCACATACTTTACTGAGTAAGACTCTTGTATATGAAAATGGCATAGTAAGATTGTGGAAATTGGAAAACGTCTCTTACCTAGTAAACGCTAATTCAGTAAGAGTCACCTCTCCTACTTACTAGGTAAGATTCTCCATCCTAGTCAATCCTCTTATTAAGTAAGATTTTCAGTTTTTGTCATGCTCGTTCAGTAAAGTAAGTGATCTGATAACCGCTTCCCTGATTAACATTAATTTGCTTTTCAAGTTTCATATTTTTCTAAAGCAACATAAATAGAACCCAAAGTATTGTCCGATTAGTTCATCTAGGGAAAACCAATAGGGAAATGACTCAAATAGCCATTCTATCCATTAAAATTGGTCTTTTAACCATTTCTCTCCCGAGTTTACCCAAACATCACTATGTCTATAATATCCACATCCGCAATATTGTGGACCTGACTAAAAAAAAAAAAAAAATCAAATTTCACCAAGTTATCAAGTGATAGCATCATAATTGCGAGCATGTCCGTCACAATTGCGGACCTGAGTTGAATCTGATAATTTTTTGTCTTTTATCCAGGTCTGTGATATTGCACATGTGGATATTGTGAACGTAGTGACATCTAGGTAAACCCAAGAGAGGAATCGCTAAGAGACCAATTTGAGTAGATGGAATAGCTATGTGAGTCAATTTCCCGAACCAATATTGGGTACAAGTTTATCTATATTATATTACAAAGCATTGGACAAAAACTCTTTAAAACCATTTTTTATGCATGAAGTACTGTTTATTGATTTAAATTACTTAAAATTCAAGATTACAAGTTGATTGTACGTAAATACAACTTATTGTAACTTCATGTTTGAATTCATGTAACTAACTGCAGATAAACATAATCAAATAGATGATAAACATCTTTTAAATATAAAAAATCTAAAATATAATTAGATTATTATCTTTATAAATTTAAACCAAAAAAATATGAATTAAAGAAATACACAAAAAAGGAGAAATTTTGAATAGTTAGTTTTGTACTAATGTTAATATTATTTTTTTTCAAATTTTTATGATATTTTCATATTTATATTTCATTCAAACATAAAAACATTATTATTTTCTCAAAACTACGTAAAATCGTATTATAATATTAACTCAGACAAAAAAACGAAACATTAAAATCGCGATGTATCTCGCAACATTGTGCGAGTACTCTTTTAATTATAAAACATTTGACAAAAACTCTTAAAAACCATTTTTATGCATGAATCACTGTGTATTAATGATATTACTTAAAAAAATTAAAATTACAAGTAAATTGTGCGTAAGTACAACTTATTAAAAGTTTATTTTTGAATTCTTATAACTAACTACAGATAAATATAATCAAATATAATATAAATATCTCATTTTAAATATAAAAAATCTAAAATATAATTATGATAATTATTGAGTTCTAACATAATCATTATCCTCATAAAAAATTTATTGTTTAGCCAAAAATAAATTACTTCACTATTTGACCTTAATTAAACTATAATAAAAATTTGAATTAAAGAAATTGTACATAAAAACGAGAACTTTTAAATATTTAATTTGATATTAATATTGATATATTTTTTCAAAATTTAATGATGCTTTTAAATTTATTTTTATTTAAAAGTAAAAACATTATCTTTTTCAAAACCACATAAACCGTATTATATCAACAGAGACAAAAATAAAATAAAAATGTATCTCATTACATTACGCGAGTACCCTTGTCCTTCTAAACCAATTCAAGGTACTAATCATGGCGTTGAGAGTGACGTGAATGAGGCTAGCTAATTACTTTGGCATTTAGGGCTCCCAAATTATAACTGTTTTGGAAAAATCATTTTGTAACACAAAACTTGTATTTGTGTAACCATAATGAAACCATCAGTGTCACATTTTTTTAATTAATTTCCCTAAATGAATTCAGAATTCATACAACTTTTAGCATTTTATTGAAATATAATTAAAACCCAAAATTAATTTAGATACATATGCATATAAAGTTGGGTTAAAACGAGAATATGATTAAATTAAAGAAAGAATACGAGAACATTTATATCATATATGATTTTAGACTTTAGAGTCAAATCATATGTGATTAGAGAACATTGTCAAACCACGGCCGCAAGCACAACCCCGCGACCTAGGTGGTTTGACTTGTTTCTTAATCATATATTCTCGTTTTAATCTTTGTGTGTACATGTATAAAGAGATATTCAAATGAAAAACAACCTTGACTTTACAAGAATGCGATCAACTTTATCACATGTGATACTATGGTCAATCATATATGTGTGATTAATGGTGTTTTTTTATAATTAAAACCAAGGGATGCGCATGACTTGGCCCGCTACCTAGGTCGCTGCCAAGGTCACTCGACTCTCTGATAAGTGTTCTCACATTCTCATAAAATTATGGTGTTTTCGTTTAAACCCACCTCTACATACAAAAACCCACAAATATAACTGTGTATGAATGTGTGTGTATGCATATATATGTATGTATGTATGTATGTATGTATGTATGTATGTATGTATGTATGTATGTATGTATGTATGTATGTGTGTATAACGAAAAGGAGGATCATACCAAATGCAATGGAAATATAGAGGGTTTATATCTGATATACGAAACCCAAAACAGATAAAAATAATTTTTGCGTCTCCATAATTATAATGGTTTATTTTTAAACTTTTACCTATGAATTTTGGTTCTAAAAAAGTTAAAAAATACAACTTAAATGACGTATCAGTTTTATTAAAAATACCAAAAAAAATCAAAAAAAATAATAATAAAAGGCTGGATCGCCCTTGGGGGCGATGAGACAGCCTGGATCGCCCCCTAGGGCGA